CTATACTACAAGGCTACAGTAATCAAAACAGCATGGTACTGGTACCAAAACAGAGATATAGACCAATGGAACAGAACAGAGGCATCGGAGGCAACACAACATATCGACAACCATATAATCTTGGATAAACCTGACAAAAACAAGCAATGGACATGGACACAGAAAGGGGAGTACTAAACACTGGGGTCTATTGGGGGGAAAAGGGGAGGGCCAGTGGGAGGGGGAGGTGGGGAGGGATAGCCTGGGGAGAAATGCCAAATGTGGGTGAAGGGGAGAAGGAAAGAAAAGCAAACTGCCATGTGTGTTCCTATGCAACTGTCTTGCATGCTTTGCTCATGTACCCCAAAACCTAAAATCCAATAAAAAATTTAAAAAAAAAAAAAAAAAAAAAACAAGCAATGGGGAAAGGATTCCCTGTTTAATAAATGGTGTTGGGAAAACTGGCTAGCCATGTGCAGAAAGCAGAAACTGGACCCCTTCCTGACACCTTACACTAAAATTAACTCCAGATGGATTAAAGACTTAAACATAAGACCTGGCACCATAAAAACCCTAGAAGAAAATCTAGGCAAAACCATTCAGGACATAGGAGTAGGCAAGGACTTCATGACCAAAACACCAAAAGCATTGGCAACAAAAGCCAAAATAGACAAATGGGACCTAATCAAACTCCACAGCTTCTGCACGGCAAAAGAAACAGTCACTAGAGTGAATCGGCAACCAACAGAATGGGAAAAAATTTTTGCAGTTTACCCATCTGACAAAGGGCTGATACCCAGAATTTACAAAGAACTCAAACAGATTTACAGGAAAAAAACAAACAAGCCCATTCAAAAATGGGCAAAGGATATGAACAGACACTTTACAAAAGAAGACATACATGAGGCCAACAAACATATGAAAAAATGCTCATCATCACTGGTCATTAGAGAGATGCAAATCAAAACCAATTGAGATACCATCTCACGCCAGTTAGAATGGCGATCATTAAAAAATCTGGAGACAACAGATGCTGGAGAGGATGTGGAGAAATAGGAACACTTTTACACTGTTGGTGGGAGTGTAAATTAGTATAACCATTGTGGAAGACAGTGTGGAGATTCCTCAAGGCCTTAGAAATAGAAATTCCATTTGACCCAGCAATCCCATTACTGGGTATACATCCAAAGGACTATAAATCGTTCTACTATCAGGACACATGCACACGAATGTTCATTGCAGCACTGTTTACAATAGCAGAGACCTGGAACCAACCCAAATGCCCATCGATGATAGAATGGACTGGGAAAATGTGGCACATATACACCATGGAATATTATGCAGCAATCAAAAATGATGAGTTTGTGTCGTTTGTAGGGACATGGATGAATCTGGAGAACATCATTCTCAGCAAACTGACACAAGAACAGAAAATGAAATACTGCATATTCTCACTCATAGGCGGGTGAACGAAAAATGAGAACACATGGACACAGGGAAGGGAGTACTAAACCCTGGAGTCTATTGGGGGGAATAGGGGAGGCACAGCCGGTGGAGGAGCTGGGGAGGGATAGCCCGGGGAGAAATGCCAAATGTGGGTGAAGGGGAGGAAGGCAGCAAAACACACTACCATGTGTGTACCTATGCAACTATCTTGCATGTTCTGCACATGTACCCCAAAACCTAAAATGCAATAAAAAATTAATTATAACTATTATAATGAAATGTAACTACTGATAACACTAGTATAATCAAATTGAATAAACTTAATATTTAAAAAATTACAAGATTGTATATATTAGGGAAAAGTGAGGTGAATTATTCACTTTTGGGGGTTAGCTTGTGTTCAGTTTGCTATTGCTTGCTACAGAAATGATATTTAGCAGTTTGAAAGTAGCAATAGTAGATAGATTTATCTCCTATGACTAGAGCCTTAGAGCAATTTCTTTTATTTTTATTTTTGAGACAGTCTCACTCTGTTGCCTAGGCTAGAGTGCAATGGCACTATCTTGGCTCACTGCAACATCCACCTCCCAGGTTTAAGCGATTCTTTCTGCCTCAGCCTCCTGAGTAGCTGGGATTACAGGCGCCCGCCACCATGCCTGGCTAATTCTTGTATTTTTAGTAGAGACGGAGTTTCTCCATGTTGGCCAGGCTGGTCTCAAACTCCTTGCTTCAGGTGATCATCCCGCCTCAGCCTCCCAAAGTGCTGGGATGACGGGCATGAGCCACTGTGCCCAGACTTCTTAGAGCAATATCTAAGGTAGAAACATACCAAAAAATAAGAGAGAATCTCTTAACCAATGGTTTTCTTTATCTATAACCTAGATTTTAAAGCCAAATTAGAAGTGTTAGTCATCTGAAATCTTGTGCTGGTGTATTTCATTTAACCAATAGAGGAACTTTTGTTTTTGAAGGTATATTGGTTAAGAACAGAACACAGGCTGTGGAACCAGGCTGCCTGAGTATTAATCCTAGATCTCTTGCTGTTGCCTTGGCTGGTTACTTAACATGTCTGTTTTCTCATCTAGGAAGTGAGAATGATAGCACCTGCTTCATAGGACTGAATATTAAATTATATAAATACAATAATCTCTCAGTATCTGGGGGGGATTGTTTCTAAGACCTCCCACAATACCAAAATCCATGGAAGTCGCTTATATAAAATGGCATAATTTTTGCATATAACCTATGCACATCCTCCCATATACTTTAAATCATCTCTAGATTACTTATAATAACTAACTATACGTCACTTCGTTCCCATAGATTCAAAGTAGTACTCAGCACATACAAATTCAAGTTTTGCTTTTTGGAATTTTTTTTCTTCTAAATATATATATATCGTTCTTGTTGCCCAGGCTGCAGTGCAGTGGCATGACCTCAGCTCACTACAACCTCTGCCTCCCAGGTTCAAGCGATTCTCCTGCCTCAGCCTCCCGAGTAGCTGGGATTACAGGTGCCCACCACCACACCCGGCTCATTTTTGTATTTTTAGTAGAGACAGGGTTGGCCAGGCTGGTCTCGAATTCCTGACTTCAGGTGATTCACCTGCTTTGGCCTCCCAAAGTGCTGGGATTATAGGCATGAGCCACTGTGCCTGGCCTCTTCTGAATATTTTTGACCTGTGGATGGTTAAATCCATGATGTGGAACCTGTGGATGCTGACTATATATACAGAAAATAAGAACGAGACCTGAGCCAGAGTGAGTGCTCAAAAGCTATTAGCTGCCTTTGACAGCATCACCACCATCATTGCTATCATTATTTGGAGTTTCCACATCTTATTACCTTATCAGAAATATGATGTGGAAGACAATTTTATACCATACATACATTTTCATTTACTTTTTAACCACCTGGAAGAATGACCAGTGACCAGGAAATTGACAGGAACATTGAAGCCACTGAGCATGTGAAGTATTTTTTTTAATTTTACTTTTGTGGCTTAACAGTGTTTTCAGACATTTCTCTTCATTTTATTAAAGTGTCTTTTTTTCTCCTGCTTTTCCACATTTATTAAAAATAGTTATATAGTATATAGCAGTATAGTTGAAAATAGAAATGAACACATTTTGGTGAAATTATGAATTTTTAAAGCTGACATAGTTATTTTAGTTATAGCATTTTATCCATTTCAGTTCTTACAGGGGCCAGTGCTATAGGGTTCTGTGAGCCCCTCCCCATTGATGCGGAAACAAGAAACTGTAGAAATAAAAGATACAGATACAGAGACAGAAAAAAGAGAGTTTGGGCTCAGGGGTCCACTGCCAACCAAATCACAGAGACCTACAGTGGCACCGAGGGCCTGGACACTCTTATTTTTGTTGAGTACAAAGCAGTGGGCAGGGAAGGTAGGGTGAGGTAATGGTGGTCGGTGATAGGGTCAGGTAAATCAAGTGTCTTGAGGATAGGGGCCAGGACTTTCATGTAGCCGAGGGGAGGAGAAAAGCTAATTCATCAGTGCTCTTCGCAATTTTGTTAGAAATGTCAAGGACATTAATTCTTCTGAGACAGAGAAACCAGGTGCAGAAGCAGGGCGTGAGAGTAGACATGGAACGTGACCACTGTAGCACAGGGTCACATAGAAACACTTAAGCCCCCAGATGTTTGTGGGCTTTCCTGACAGCCATCAGGCCTTGCCACAAGAGCTTGGAGAAATGGAGTTTTCTCCTAACTTCCCTAGGAAGGAGATGTCTTGGTCATTTTGGACAACTCCTTCCCTAGCTGGCTAAACAGCGAGTGCTTTCTTAGCACTGGTGCTGCTGCACAGCTGAGGTGCCCTCCAGCAGCCCTTAAGTGGGTGTGACAGAGGGCTTAGAGCATCTTGCCTTAGGATCACTTTGTTCACAATGTCACCTCAGTTCCATGCTTCATAACCTGATGGTCATTAGTAAAATTAAAGGTTATATTGAGTATATATCTTTATGATTATACGTAACTATAAGATTATATGTGATTATATAAAGGAATAACTATGTGCCTACATTTCTAATTCTTTTCTAAATCAGTATTTATATGGGAACAGGCTGAGGCTTCAAACCCTTGCCACAGCACTTGCGGGGTTTCCCCCCTACAAATTCTATTCTCCTAGTTCTCTAAATCTCTACTGTATTTGAAGCAATTCTGGAAGTCAGAGAGCTCTAAGGAACTAATAGGAGCTTTGTTTCATGCAGGAAACAAAATATAAGTATTTATTACTCTGAAAATATAAGTATTTATTACTCCAAAAATATAAGTATTTATTACTTTTAAAAGTGCTTATGTCAAATTGTTGTTAGTTTGAGCTGTTAAGAAATATTTGCTCCAAGAAATTCTTGGCTATATGGAAATCTTAGAAAAGCATATCATTTGTTCTATTGTTACTTTTTAACATTTGTGAATATTACTTTTTCTTCTACAGGACAAGGTGGAACCCTGGTTGATAGAGGAGATAATACGTATGGAGGAAAGTGGGTCATAAATCCTAGTGGTGGATTGATTTCAAAGGGACACCCACTGGGAGCTACAGGTAATACTACATACAGATTTCATAAAATTATTTTTTCTTTTCTTTTCTTTTTTTATATATATATATATATTTTATAAAGACGGGGTTTCACCATGTTGATCAGGCTGGTCTTGAACTCCTAACCTCAGGTGATCCGCCTGCCTTGGCCTCAAAAGTGCTTGGATTACAGGCGTGAGCCACCACACCCAGCCCATAAATGTTTTAAATCATTTTTTCCTTAAGTGTGAATGATTTAGACTTTCATTTGAATGAAGGATTATATTCTCTGAACTTGGTAGCTGGTGCTTAAAATGATTGTTTAGCTGCAATATTTTTGATTTTCCACTAAGTAGAACATACTTAAATAATCTTGATTAATTGTTGAGAATTTGAATTAATTAAAACTAAATTCAGGGCACAAAAGTTACATAGCTAAAGAACAAAAAGTATCCTTTGGATTTGGCTGTTACAAAGTCATTGGCAGTCCTGGAGCAATTTTGAAGAAGTGTTTTGCATAGAAGTAATGGGATTCAGAAAGAGTTGTAAGTGAGAAAGTGGCAACAATAGTGCAGGTACATTTTTAGGAATAGTGGCTATGAATGGAAAGTGATACGTATGTAAGGGATGTACCTGAATTATAGGTACATGTTCTGTATGAATGAAACTTGGGTTTGAACCTAGCCTCTTCACTCTCTTTAGTATGTAGATTAGCCAGTTAATCCTAGTTTCTTATCTGTAAAATTGGAATATATTACCTACCTTATAAGGCGGTTCTGTGGAAATGAGGAAATACATGTATGTAAAGTGTACAGTAGAGTCCCCCAAAAAGAGTAGGAACACAATAACTTCCAGAATTCTCTTCCCAACATTTTTACAAAAGGAAGCCATGATGGATCTCTTAACTGGTTCTTGTTTGTTTGTTTGCCAGTATTAAACCTCTTGTTTTTATCACAGTATGAAAAATAATTTTTAACCATTTTTGGAGAAGAATGTTCTTTTATTTGTAAAGAAAATTTGTTTTCTAGTATGACACCCTCAAGGCACCATATCTCTATGTAGACATTGTGCCCAGTGCTACACAGACATTATTTTAAAACTATTTTCCACCTTTGGTAAATAGACTAAACTGTTTTCTTTATTCCTCAGAAGAATTAGGTCATACTTCAGTGTTGATTTTGTTGCTAATGGGACATGGGATGTCTGGATGATAATAAATATTTTTGTGGTGTGGCCACTGAAACCTTTAAGAGTTATACTGTGGTTTGTATGTGAAGAAGTCACTCAAATCCTCCTATCAGACAGCTTCCTTACTCATATAGGAAACCTCTGTTTCATTAGGAGATGAATATGACATTTCATTTTAGTTGTTCTTGTTGACGTACAACATTTTTCTTCTCTGAAATAGCATGTTTTTATTATAACTTGCTTGCTTGCCATTATTAGATATTTTTGTTCAGCCATCAACTGAAACACTCAGAAATCATGCTTTATAGTAACAATATAATTTTTCATATCTATATTATTAAAATTTAGATTGATTCTTTCTTTAAGACAGAGTCTTATTGTCACCCAGGCTGGAGTGCAGTGGCACGATCCTGGCTCACTGCAGCCTCTGCTTCCCAGGTTCAAGTGATTCTCCTGCCTCAGCCTCCGGAGTAGCTGGGATTATAGTTGCACACCACCATGGCCTGGCAGATTTTTGTATTTTTAATAGAGATGAGGATTCACAATGTTGGCCAGGCTGGTCTCAAACTCCTGACCTTGTGATCCACCCACCTCAGCCTCCCAAAGTGCTGGAATTACAGACGTGAGCCACTGCGCCTGGCGTAGATCTAATTTTTATACAAGAAAATGCAGTTCTGCCTCTCAGAACCTTCCTGCTGCTGCATTTGCACCTCACTGCTCTAGCCTCTGGGGCACATTCCATCCTTTCAGCCTGCAACCAGCAGAGAAAAAAAATTACATATTTTATTGCCCCGTACATACCTTGAGGCAAGCAAAAAAATTAAATTTTAACCATGAGGGAAATTGTGCACATTCAGGCTGGTCAGTGTGGCAACCAGATTAGTGCCAAGTTCTGAGATGTGATCAGTGATGATCGTGGCATCGAGCCCACTGACATCTAACATGAGGACAGCACCTGCAGCTGGACTGCAACTCCATGTACTACAATGAAGCCACAGGTGCCAGATATGTTCCTTGTGCTATCCTGGTGGATATAGAACCTGGGACCATGGACTGTGCTAGCTCAGGCCCTTTTGGCTAGATGTTTAGATCAGACATCTTCGTTTTTGGTTAGTCTGGGACAGGCAACAACTGGGCCAAAGGACGCTACATAGAGGGGGCCGAGCTGGTTGATTCAGTCCTAGAAGTGGTGCAGAAGGAGGCTGAGAGCTGTGACTGCCTTTAGGGCTTCCAGCTGACCCACTCACTGGGTGGGGGCACAGGCTCTGGAATGGGCAAGCTCCTTATCAGCAAGATCCGAGAGCACCCTGATTGCATTATGAACACCTTCAGTGTGGTCCCTTCACCCAAAGTGTCTGACACTGTGGTTGAGCCCTGCAACACTACTCTCTCCATCTATCAGTTGGTAGAGAACACTGATGAGCCTACTGTATTGATAACAAGGCCCTCTATGATATCTGCTTCCGTACTTTGAAGCTGACCATACCAACCACCTTGTCTCAGCCACCATAAATGGTGTTACCACCTGCCTCTGCTTACCTGGCCAGCTCAATACTGAGCTCTGCAAGTTGGCAGTCAACCTGGAGCCCTTCCCATATCTCCACTACTTCATGCCTGGCTTTGCCCTCTCACCAGCCGTGGAAGCCAGCAGTATCAAGCTCTCATAGTGTCCGAACTCACCCAGCAGGTCTTCAATGCCAAGAACGTGATGGCTGCCTATGACCCGCTTATATCTCAGCGTGGCGCTGTCTTCATGGATGGATGTCTATGAAAGAGGTTGATGAGCAGATGCTCAACGTACAGAACTAGGACAGCAGCTAATTGTGGAATGCATCCCCAACAACATTAAGACAGCTGTCTGTGACATCTCACCTCATGACCTCAAGATGGCAGTCACCTTCATCGGCAACAGCATGGCCATCCAGGAGCTCTTCAGGGGCACCTTGGAGCAGCTCACTGCCATGATCTGCTGGAAGATCTTCCTCCACTGGTACACAGGCAAGGGCCTGGATGAGATGGGAGTTCACTGAGGCTGAGAGCAACATGAACAACCTTGTCTCTGAGTATCAGCAGTACCAGGATGCCACCGCAGTAAAGGAGGATGATTTCTGTGAGGAGGCTGATGAGGAGGCCTAAGGCAGAGCCCCCATCACTTCAGGCTTCTCAGTTCCCTTAGCCATCTTACTCACCTGCCCCTTTTCTCTCCCTCAGAATTTGTGTTTGTGGCCTCAATCTCGTTTTCTGTTTTTTTCTTTTCTTTTGGGGGATGTAGAACAGTGCCTGGCACACAGTAGGTGCTCAACAAATACTTGTTTGTGGAATGTTTCCTCTATCTTTCTTCTCTGGGAAGTCTAGGTTACTGCCATTTTGGGTGACCCTGTATTTCCTTCCAGTGCCCATCCCTTTCATCTGTCCAGTTAATATTTCCCTTTTTTAAAATCTGCAAGAAGCTGGCTCTCATCAAGATCTCATTTAGAACCAACTGGGTTTTGAAAGCCTAGGTAGATAATGGCCACCATCCTAAGCCCAAAGTTGAAGATGGTAGAAGATGGCAGGTAGAAGTCACGGCAAGGAAGGGGATGGGATTTTCCATCCTAAAAGTTTTGAGAGAGAAATCCAGGCTATTAAAGTCATAATTTCCAGATGTTTTCATTTTCCATTTCTCAGCTTCAAGGGAGGAGAAGTAGTATTTTCTCCATTTCCAAACTTCCTCCAAGCTCTACCCTTTGGAGAGGTCTGCCTCACTCTGTCAATTTTTCCCTCTCTGACTCTACCTCCCTCACACATTGAATTCCTCCCTTTCTCCTGATCAGAGAAGGGGATCAAGAGGGGAAAGAGAACCAGCCTTGGTCCCTAGGCCTCCAGAAATGCCCCCAATCCCCACATTTTCTTAACCCCAGAAAAAATTAACATCCTTGACTTTAGGTGAATGGTGTATACTGCCACATCAGTGTTTGAGTCATTCTCCAGAGGAGAGGGGAACCCTCCTCCATCTTTTTTGCAACATCTCATATCTTCCTTTTGCTGTTGCTTTTCCCCCCTTATGCTTAGTTTTGTTCTATGCTACACTTTAGATTTCTATTTTGTGTTAAACTTGCTGTTTTTTTCATACTGAAAAGGTGACATTGCACCAAGAACCAAAAATAAATGGGAATTGGAAAAAAAAATCCACAATTCTTGCCAAAACGTGCACACTGATGTTTATAGCAGCATTATTCATAATAGTCAAAAGCTGGAAACAACCCAGATGTCTATCATCAACTGATGAACAAAATGTGGTATATTTATTTTTATTTTTTTAGATTTTTTTTGAAATAGTCTCACTCTGTCCCGAAGGCTGGAGTGCAGTGGTGTGATCTTGGCTCACTGCAACCTCCACTTCCCTTGTTCTAGTGATTCTCCTGCTCCAGCCTCCTGAATAGCTGAGACTCCAGTGCCTGCTACCACATCCAGCTAATTTTTGTATTTTTAGTAGAGATGGGGTTTCTTTATGTTGGCCAGACTGGTCTCAAACTCCTGATCTCAAGTGATCCACCCACCTCAGCCTCCCAGGTGTGAGCCACTGCGTCTGGCCAAAATGTGGTATATTTATACTATGGAATATTTTTTGGCCATGAAAGGAATGAGGTACTGACATATGCTACAATATAGAACTTTGAAAACATTTTTAAATTCCATTTTTATGATATGTCCAGAATAGGCAAATCTGTAGGACAGAAAATAGGTTAGTGGTTGCTTAGGACTAGGGAACACAGGAGAGATACCTAAAGGGTATATGTGGAGTTTCTTTTTAGATGATGAAAATGTTCTAAAATTGATTGTGGTGATAGCTGCACAACTCTGAATACACTAAAAAAATCACTGAATTGTACACTTTAAATCGATAATTGTTTTTGACAATTATATACATCCAGGTAGCAACCAGCCAAAACAAGATCAAGAACATTTTCATTACCCCAAAAAGTTCTAGCCTGCCTATTTCCAGTCAATCCTGTGGCCTCCCTGAAACACTTCTCTCTCACTTTCCACCACCACCAGGCTGAGATGTTTGACTTCTCGCGTGGCAGATTAGTTTTGCTGATCCTAGAACTTCATATAAATGGAATCATACAGTGCATGTATGTATTCTTTTGTGCTTGGTTTCATTCAGCAGATTATAAAATTAATCCAAGGTTTTCTTTTTATTAGTAGTTCTTTTTTATTGCCAAATAGTATTCTATTGTTGAAATATATCAGTTTGCATATCTATTGTCCTGTGGATGGATATTTGAATTGCTTCCTGTTTAGGGCTGCATGAATAAGATTGCTATGAATGTTTGTATACAAGTCTATTTTCAGACATATATTTTAATTTTTCTTGGGATAATAACTTGGAGTGAAATTGCTGGGTCATAGGACAGATACATATTTAACTTTATGAGTAACTGTCAAATAAGGCTAGGCGCCGTAACTCACACCTGTAATCCCAGCACTTTGGGAGGCCGAGGTGGAAGGACTGCTTGAAGCCAGGAGTTTGAGACCAGCTTTGGCAGCAAAACAAGACTTCATCTCTACAAAATATTAAAAAATTAACTGGGAGCAGTAGCATGCACCTGTAGTCCCAGCTACCCAGGAGGCTGAGGTCGCGGGATTGCTTGAGCCCAGGAGATCAAGACTGCAGGGATACTTACTGCAGCATTGTTTGCAATAACAAACTTGACACAACTTATATGTCTATCAATAATTGAATTACTAGGTTTCTTACAATGGAAATAGTATGTAGGCATTAAAAAGAATAAAGGCTATAAGTGATAATACAGAAAGATTTTTAAGAGGTGCCAGGCATGGTGGTGCATGCCTATACACCCCAGGAGTTTGAGACCAGCCTGGGCAACATGGTGAAAACCTGTCTCTACAAAAAATACAAAAATTAGTCAGGCGTAGTGGCACACATCTGTGGTCCCAGCTATCTGTGTTTTTTCATACTTTCACAAGTATATCCATTGTGTCACTGGGTAGTATGTATTTAAAAATTAGTTGAGATTGCCAAATATTCTTCAGAAAAGATTGAACCAATATATATTTCCAATAACAGTATGAGAATGCCTCTTTTCCTTCAGTCTTGTCAGTATTGGATTTTTTTTTCTCAAATGTTAAAAATTTTGCCAATATTGACAGATCATCTGTTTGTCTTCCCTGGGTACTGAAAAGGTAACCTAAAACACTCCAGGAAGATAGAATTTACTCAATTTTTAAATATTCAAAGAGAGACTCACATTTCCTGCAGTATCCTTTGATAGCCCTTTCTAACATTTGAGTCTACACTGTTGGTAAATTTTTCCTTTTATCATTAGTCTTTGAGGTATCACGTCTAGTGATGGTGTAGCATTTTGTGGGAAAAACTTACAAATCTTGATGACTTGAGTTGTAGTCTGAATAGGAATGAGGAATTATTGAAAAGTAAATGTTTCCTTGCTACATATTGAGGATTTGGATATATTTTGAGTAAATCTGGCACATGGCCACTAGCTGTAGTGTGCCCCAAGAAAGAATTCAGACTCCTTGAATATATATCACAATGACAGTTATAAGTAGCTTAAACATTTTTTCCCTAGTTACTTGGATAACAAACTGCAATAGGATTCTAAGAGATTCAGAAAATGGTCAAGTAAGTTCCAAAATATGTTAAGACTGGTGGTGAGAGTATACGGTTCTCTTCTGTAAATGGGATTAATTTAATTGTAAGACAATGTTACTTTGGTTGGGAACTCAGTATTAGGGAATTAGCTTTAAAATTAAAGCTTTGTCTGACAAAGGGTTGATATCCAGAATCTACAAAGAACTAAAACAGATTTACAAGAAAAAAACAAACAAGCCCATTCAAAAGTGGGCAAAGGATATGAACAGACACTTTACAAAAGAAGACATACATGAGGCCAACAATCATATGAAAAAATGCTCATCATCACTGGTCATTAGAGAAATGCAAATCAAAACTACATTGAGATACCGTCTCACGCCAGTTAGAATGGCGATCATTAAAAAGTCTGGAGACAACAGATGCTGGAGAGGATGTGGAGAAATAGGAACACTTTTACACTGTTGGTGGGAGTGTAAATTAGTTCAACCATTGTGGAAGACAGTGTGGCGATTCCTCAAGGACCTAGAAATGGAAATTCCATTTGAGCCAGCAATCCCATTACTGGGTATATATCCAAAGGATTATAAATCATCCTACTATAAGGACATATGCACATAAATGTTCATTGCAGTACAGTTTACAATAGCAAAGACCTGGAACCAACCCAAATGCCCATCGACGATAGACTGGACAGGGAAAATGTGGCACATATACACCATGGAATATTATGCAGCCATCAAAAACAATGAGTTTGTGTCCTTTGTAGGGACATTGATGAACCTAGAAACCATCATTCTCAGCAAACTGACATAAGAACAGAAAATCAAACACCACATGTTCTCACTCATAGGTGGGTGTTGAACAATGAGAACACGTGGACACAGGGAGGGGAGCGTCACACACTGGGGTCTGTCAGGGGGATAAAAGGGGAGGGACAGTGGGGGATGGGGAGTTGGGGAGAGAGAGCATGGGGAGAAATGCCAGATATAAGTGATGGGGAGGAAGGCAGCAAATCACACTGCCATGTGTGTACCTATGCAACAATCTTTCATGTTCTTCATATGTACCCCAAAACCTAAAATGCAATAACAAAAAGCGGCCAGGTGCAGTGGCTCACGCCTGTAATTCCAGCACTTTGGGAGGCTACAAGGTCAAGAGATTGAGACCATCCTGGTCAACACGGTGAAACCCCGTCTCTACTAAAAATACAAAAAAATTAGCTGAGTGTGGTGGCATGTGCCTGTGATCCCAGCTACTTGGGAGGCTGAGGTGGAAGAATCGCTTGAACTTGGGAGGCGGAGGTTGCAGTGAGCCGAGATTGCGCCACTGCACTCCAGCCTGGTGACAGAGCAAAACTCCACCTCAAAAAAAAAAAAAAAAAAAGAAGTAGCGGGGGAACACCTGTTAAAAAAAAAAAAATTAAAGCTTTCTGATAGTGGTTTCTGATTTTGTTTAGATCTGATGAAAGGTTCTAGGTGCCATAACAGTATCCAAAATAGAAGAAAATGATAGGTTTCAGCATTTGAATTGAGTATTCTTTTGTTCATTGTCAGTTTAAAAACATGAATTCCTTTTAGATTTCTAATCAGGAAAATTATATTAAACTTGAATGGTTTTTGATTACTTTGCAGTGGTCGTATAACAAACATCACAGGCCGGGCGCGGTGGCTCAAGCCTGTAATCCCAGCACGATGGGAGGCCGAGGCGGGTGGATCACGAGGTCAAGAGATCGAGACCATCCTGGTCAACAAGGTGAAACCCCATCTCTACTCAAAATACACAAAATTAGCTGGACATGGTGGCGCGTGCCTGTAATCCCAGCTACTCAGGAGGCTGAGGCAGGAGAATTGCCTGAATCCAGGAGGCAGAGGTTGCAGTGAGCGGAGATGGTGCCATTGCACTCTAGCCTGGGTAACAAGAGCGAAACTCCGTCTCAAAAAAAAACAAACATCACATTAGTGTTCAGGTAATAATGTCATATTTTATTCTAGTTTTCAAAGTGTTTTTACATATACTGCCCAACACTACTGAACACTGTTTTTTTGTTTTGTTTTTGACAGCGTCCCGCTCTGTTGCCCAGGCTGGAGTACAGTGGTGAGATCTCAGCTCACTGCAACCTCCGCCTCCCAGGTTTAAGTGATTCTCCTGCTTCAACCTCTGGAGTAGCTGGGATTACAGGGGCTCGCCACCATGTCTGGCTAATTTTTGTATTTTTAGCAGAGATGGGGCTTCACCATGTTGGCCAGGTTGACCTCGAACTATTGACCTCAAGTGATCCACCTTCCAAAGTACTGGGATTACAGGCATGAGTTGTCACACCTGGCCTGATCACTTGTTTTAAATGAATAAAGATTGGACATGGTGGCTTATGACTATAATCCCAGCACTTTGGGAGGTTAAGGCAGGAGGATGGCTTGAAGCCAGGAGTTCGAGACAGCCTGGGCAACAAAGCAAGACCCTGGTCTCTACCAGAAAAAAAAAAAAAAAAGTAAAAATTGGCTTTAGTTTATTTTTAGCTATCTCTGCTTTTAAGAAAATCCATATTAATGTCTGCAGTCTACCAAAAGGACATGAAAGTGCCTTTGAGATAAAGCTCCTGATAAGGGCTTATTGATTGCTTTGAATGTAGAAGTTGGTTTTTCAGTTTGGCCTTTTGTCGTAGTTCGGCCTGGCCTTTTAGGCCTTTAAGAAAGGCCTCTGTGCCTTTTCAGTAGGCTTCAGGCTGATCTTCTGTTGTTCAGTCAACGTCAGTTCAGTAGTGACTTATTGTGCACTCACCTCATCATTAGGTACTGTAGGTCACTGGCTGTCAAATATGAGGTCTATTCATAGACTGATTCAAAGCCTCTTGAAGCTTTGAAAAATATATGTTCCTGGGTGGGTGTGGTGGCTCATGTCTGTAATCCCAGTACTTTGGGAGGCTGAGGCAGGCAGATTGCTTGAGCTCAGGAGTTTGAGACCAGTGTGGGCAAGATGGTGAAACCCTGTCTCTATGAAAAATGTAAAATTTAGCCAGGCGTGGTGGTGTATGCCTGTAGTCCCAGCTACTTAAGAGTCTTGAGTTGAGAGGATGGCTTGAGCCCGGTAGGCAGAGGTTGCAGTGAGCTGAGATCATGCCACTGCACTCCAGCCTGGTAAAGCCAGACCTTGTCTCAAAAAAAAAAAAAATTACACACACACACACACACACACACACACACGCACTCACATGATATATATATATATGCGCTCCTGTCCTACTTGTAGAAATTTTCTTGGTCAGGTTGCTTCTAAACAACATATATATATAGCACACTTTCATGTCCTTTTGGTAAACTGCAGACATTAATATGGATTTTCTTAAAAGCAGAGATAGCTAAAAATAAACTAAAGCCAATTTTTACTTTTTTTTTTTTTTTTTTTCCGGTAGAGACCAGGGTCTTGCTTTGTTGCCCAGGCTGTCTCGAACTCCTGGCTTCAAGCCAACATATATATACACATATATATATATGTATATCTGTATATGTATATATATGTGTGTATATATATGTGCATATATACATATATATATATATATGTATTTGTTGTTGTTTTTTGACACAGAGTCTTGCTTTGTTGCCAGGCGCCAGGCTGGAGTGCAGTGGCGCAATCTCGGCTCCTCCTGGGTTCAAGCAATTCTCCTGCCTCAGCTTCCCGGGTAGCTGGGACTACAGGTGCACACCACCACACCCAGCTAATTTTTTATGTATTTTTAGTAGAGACGGGGTTTCACCATGTTGGCCAGGATGGTCTCTATCTCTTGACCTCGTGATCCACCCGCCTCGGCCTCTCAAAGTGCTGAGATTACAGGCTTGAGCCACTGCACCCGGCCCAATAATTTATATTTTTTTAAAGTTCCCCCAGAGCTTCTCATGCAGAGCCAGATTTGGGGGCTAGGGTTAGGATACACATTGTAACTTGCCACTGGCCTCAGGAAGTATATAAGAGTCAGATAATACAATAACACAAATACTTATATATTTAAATAAGTAATTATAATACAAGGCAGAATGTGCTATAGGAGAAGCAGAAAGCAGAACTATGGAGAAGAGAAAAAAGGGAAGAAGGATGGCAGGACCATGAAGATTTGCTAAATCCCCATCGCATTCCTGGTGTTTTGCCCGCATTTCTATCTAGTTGTGTTTTAGGTAAGAAGATGCAGAAAGAGGAAGCATGTTTAAACCAAACTGCTTTTACCAAGCAGGTTTAATTCCTTCTTGTCTATACAAACTCTACCTTTGTTATTTTCTGAATAATAATACACTGTTCTAAGTACTCTTCATGTACAAGTGCATTCGATTTTCTTTCTCTCTCCTTCCTTCCTTTCCTCCCTTTACTTCCCTTCTCTCTTCTTCCTTCCTTTCCTCCCTTCCCTTCCCTCTTCCCTTCTGTCTTCCCTTCCCTCCTTTCCTTCTTTCCTTCCCCTCCCTCTTCCCTTCCTTTCTTCCCTCTCTCCCCTCCCCCTCCCCTTTCCTCCCCTTCCCTCCCCCTCTCCTTTCCTCCCCTCCCCCCTCCTCTCCCTTCTCTTCCTTCTTTCTCTCTCTCTCTCTCTTTCTCTCTGTCTCACTTTTGTCCCCCAGGCTGGAGTGCAATGGCGCTATCTCGGCTCACTGAAACCTCTGCCTCCCGGGTTCAAGCAATTCTCCTGCTTCACCCTATAGAGTAGCTGGGATTACAGGCGCCTGCCACCATACCTGGCTAATTTTTGTATTTTTAGTAGAGACAGGGTTTCATCATGTTGTCCAGGCTGGTCTCGAACTCCTGACCTCAGGTGATCTGTCCGCCTTGGCTTCTCAAAGTGCTAGGATTACAGGTGTGAGTCACCGCGCCTGGCCGAGTGCATTCAATTTTCTTTTTCTTTCTTTCTTTTTTTTTTTTTTTGAGACAGAGTTTCACTCTTGTTACCCAGGCTGGAGTGCAATGACGCGATCTCGGCTTACCGCAACCTCCGCCTCCTGGATTCAGGCAATTCTCCTGCCTCAGCCTCCTGAGTAGCTGGGATTACAGGCACGCGCCACCATGCCCAGCTAATTTTTTGTATTTTTAGTAGAGACGGGGTTTCACCATGTTGACCATGATGGTCTCGATCTCTTGACCTCGTGATCCACCCGCCTCGGCCTCCCAAAGTGCTGGGATTACAGGCTTGAGCCACCGCGCCCGGCAAAAAAATGGCAAAATTAATTTTAAGCAAATTTCCCTGGACTAGAGAATTGTAGATTCAGTGTATACTCTTTTAACATGCCGGAAAACGACAGGTTGAGTAAGTTTAAAGAGTGCAGGAAAGGAATTTAAAAGGAAAATAGCTGCAAAACCCTTCAGTGTTTTAAGAGAAGGTACTGTTTAGACAAGCGCGGCTTATCATATGCTTTAATTTAAAGTCACGAACATTCCCTTTCTGGGTTGAGAAAGATGGGAGAGGCAGCTTTCTAATCCAACAGACTCAGTGCTCTGTGATCGATTTGTTAGGTCTGGCTCAGTGTGCGGAGCTCTGCTGGCAGCTGAGAGGGGAAGCCGGAAAGAGGCAAGTTCCTGGTGCAAAGGTGGCTCTGCAGCATAATTTAGGCCTTGGAGGAGCTGTGGTTGTAACACTCTACAAGATGGGGTTTCCCGAAGCCGCCAGGTGAGACGTTCTGAGTTTTGTGTGTCAGTTAATCCTTCTGACTTTTCACAGTTGATGATGTTTTACATGTAAAAAATTATTTTATTGTCTTAGTATTTAAGGAAAAGTATCTCATTACATTGTTTTAAGGACATGACTTTAAAAGTGGCCATTAGGTTAAATATAACCAACTTTAGGATAATTTTGTTGAAAAAGGAGCCAGCATAGTCACTAGAGTGCTGAACTAGAAGCCTGAGCTGGCTGGGTATGGGTCTTAGGCCCT